ATAGATTCAACTAGCCTTTGTGATCCTTATTAAGGCCCTTTTTCTCAGTCAGCCTGCCAGCTCGGTTGAAGAAACCTCTGTTCAAAATGAACTCGTCGACTTGGAGGTGAGACTTCGTAGCTGGGCCATGGGCCAACACCCGTTTGGTCACCCGTTTAGGGGCAGTGGATCCAATACAATCCAACCTATAGCAAAGAACCATCAGTTTCGGAAAACCGCTGCATATCACACATGCTCAAGCTGCACTGCTCAAAGCCTGTGTGGTGGAGCAAGACCTTTTTGAAGTGCCCGAACAGGGACTACCATGGTCTAAGCTACCTCTTTGTGGATAGCTGAACGGATTCGCACGGTCCCGTGATTTGCTGAAAGTCAACCCCCAAACACTCCATAGCTATCATGAATAGAATATCTGCCGCCCCATTGACCCCCCCGGGCACCCCAATGTAGGAGTGTTTGGGACCTGCAAAACTCCACTCGGGCCAAGAGTTCGCTTGAAAACCCATCGTCCCGAGGGGCTGCTCAATCTCCAGCAGCTCCGCCAGAATCTCGTCCGGCGAAACGCTGCTGCGGCTGTGGAAGAACCGGGCCTGGCGCAGTGTTGACAGCTGCGGTGCGCGCAACGCGCGTCGCGTCGTGTCGCGGAGAGTGGGTTAGAAGGCGATGATGGAGCCTTGCTGGCAGCTGCACGAAGCTGGGTCATCCTCTTCATACATTGACGCATAGGAGACCTATTCCAAACATATTATATACCCCAAACACCCCAGTGGACACATCGGCCAACGCCGCCGCCCAAAATGAACCACGAACCTTCACCTCCACCGGTGTTCACAGCACCGATCCTCTCTGCCTCCGTTGGCGCTGGCGCCGGCGCCGGGGCCGACTCCAGGATAGAGGTCCAGGCGCCCATGGCACACCGGCGGACGGATCCAACACCTCCAAGTTGGAGATCCCGGAATCAAGGAAAGAAAGGTCGACCCATCTGACAAGCCAAAAGGTATTTAAAGGGTTCAACTTGTTGGATCATGTTGGATCCACTTGGATTTAAGATTCGGAAACCATCGGAAACCCATTCCCCTACACTTAGAGTCCGGAAACCATGCAGGTGATCCCGTGACGTGTTCTGTTTTCGTCGATCCTCGCGGGCCTTCTTCAGCGTTCTTCAGTCACTGGAAAACGCACCTTTGTTAAGAAGCTTCGACTTCGGAGGTGATCATATGCAGCTTCAAGGGGCACCAGCTCAGTCAGCTGTTCCTTCAGCTCAGTCAGCCCAGTCTGGGCACCATTTGTGCCACCATGTGCCACCTTTTACTTCTGACAAGTCAAGAACCGCAACAAAAACTCGTGCTGAGTTCACTTGAAAGTGCCTACAGCTGGGGACGACTCGCTAATGAGCTGAATGAGCGTCATCGTCAGGTCGGTCGTCTGAGGGTGGTCGACCCATATGGGTCGATGTGGCATGATCCACGAGCCGAGCCACTGCAAGGACGGCACGACTGAGCCGGTCCAGGAACAAGACTTGTGCCAAGACCTGTGGATCTAGAAGCATGACTTCAAGACCCAGCCCTATGGTAGTGGTGGATTAAGATTACCAGGTGGAGTAAAATGAGTCAAGTCACGGAAGTTCTGGGCACGCGTAGTCTGTTCAAGTTCTCAGTGAGGTTTCGAGCTTTCGCCACTGCAGGTCATGGCGCATGCAGCAATGCGCAGGTTTTGCGCAGGGCATGAAGTTCTACAGCATCTCCAAGGATGGGCTCGAATTCCAACATCTTCAACATGCCCAACACGTGATGCTATGTTGAAAAGTCGAAAGTGAGTTTGAGAGGCACCACACTTCTACATGACTCCAAATCTTATCCCTTGCCCAAGTCCATCAACAAACCACATGCATCGTGGCCCAGCATCAAACCCAAGAAAAATGCCGTCCGCCCCAGCCGCACGTCTTTTGGCACCTTATTTGCTGGTGGCTTACACTGTCGATCGCACGCATGGACAGCGCGTTGCGGTGTATCGCACGCGCTGAGAAGGGGTGGGAGACTTTGCTCCCTGAAACATGGGGGCCTGGAGCCAGGACCGGTGTCGGGCCAAAAGCAACAATGACCGACGGGATTTGTTTGATGATTGATTTCATTTGATTTGCAATGATTGAAGCCAAAAACACATCATCGTTGATCCCACCTCCATCAACGACATGTAGATGTAGCCCATGGCCATCCATGGCCCAGAGTGTTAGGAGGTGGAGAACACATGTCTAATGTCGAGAACTTACCCATGATTGCCCTCCACGCTTCCCTTCACAAACTATACCATCTCAACCACACTTCCTGTTGAAACAAGTCTGTCAGTGGCAGAAAGCAAATCTCATACGATCTCATCCCAACTAAGGATGAACCGAATCTTAGTTTTGGCCACTAACCAGTGGAGGTCTCTCAACAATTGGTTCTTCAGTTTCACCCCTAAAAGATCAATGCCACAACAGTTTGGCACCCCTTTGGTCCCATTCGGTCCAGTGTAGAACCGTGTCAGGATAGCTATCCTAACCAACAGCCCCGATCCAGGACATCCATCCCCCATGCTTCGGCACTGTCCTCTGCAACATCCTCTCGTCGTTCGGCATGTCACCGCCAAGGACGTCGAGGATCGAAACGATACGAGACGACGGCAACGTCCCCCCCCCCCGAGACGCGGCCCGGGGGGCCAAAACTGCCACCCGAAGCGTTTGGAACATCTTCGTTCGGGTAGCACGATGGCATGCAGATGGGGCGGCCGGTGACTAAGCACACAAAAACATGCAAAGCTCAAAGCTTCGCAAAGAACATCAAAATGCACTCTGAGTGAAAATGGCAGTTCTTGGAATCATTGCAGCTCCGCAGTTTTTAGAGTATAGGCTATAGGCGGAGGAAATCATGATGTTCGCAAGTGCTTCAACCTGGAGAATGCGTTCCCCCATGCCCATTAGTCTGCATTCAACTGTGGTGGATGCCCCTCCCTCATAGGCGTGGCGAGGGTGAGATCTAGCAGCCAGGGTGGTGGCTCTGAAATTGTGATCAAGCGCCAGAACAAAAAAGAACTTTATCATGTCAATGTGAAGTTATGGGTATTTGTGTCATTGTTTTTGTGCTTTCTGTTTCATACAGGGGCTTGAGGGCGGGGCTTTCCATATGGTTTCCGGTCGTTGTGGGTGTGATTTCAAAGTCCCAAACACATTTTAGACTGAGATGCTTTTCAGGGGTCAATGTCATTGAGGTCCATATGCCAGTCCTAAACAGGTTGTGTCATTGGGAGTGGTTTCATAAAGCCTGTTTCCCTGTTGGCCTCAGTTTGCTGCTGCCAGCTTGCTGCATCATGTGCTTACCGCCGTCCCCTCTGCTACCATGGAATCAAGCAATATTTAGATGAATCCTTCAGACTTGCTCAAGACATCTTTGCACCATCGACTCTGCAAACTCTGGCCGCCCTGGATCAAACACCAACTTTTTTTTGAGCTATGTATCCAAACCATCCATGGGACTGGAATAGTTACATACATTGATGCAATTATTATGACCCATCCATGTAGCTATATATATACTGCTAATATACTACTATAACTATTCCAGATATGGTCTGGGATATATTCTGCTATAAGCTTGAGCTATTGAAAAGCCTTCCCCAGGTCAACAGTTGAGGGTGGAAGTCTGTTTTGTCTAAACAGCCTTGTCACTCGTTGCGCGGGCTCATGGGGTGAACCTATCTGGAGTGCTGACAGTTGCGCGGCCATGCGGCCATCCATTCGGCAAAGGAAAAGACCTCGTCCAAGGAGATGGTAACTGACAAAAAAAAAGGAAAGAACACCCAATCATCATCCAAAGATTCATTGGATTTCATTGGTCACAACCCACCCTTGAAATGAAAGTCTCAGGTCATTCCTGAACATGCAGCAGGAATGAAGTTAATTTTAGATGGCTTAGATGACACAATTTGTGACACAATCCCAAACAACACTCACCCCTGACTGTTTGACCCTTTCATCTTTCCTTGTGGAAATCATCCACAAACGACCTTATGGAAAAAACAACAATATCTTTGCAAACTGCTGCTTTGCGAACAAGCAAACTAGTCCGTTCCTGAGCAAATCTGCCAGGTGGTATTCCCCCAGCAGCTCCGTCCGCGGAAGTGGTTGCCAGTGGTTGGTTGATTGGGCCAACCTACCTGCTTTCTGTGCCCGCATCAACACATCAACACATCATTAATTTTAACATCTGGGACTTTTGTTTGACAAGTGCAGGCCATGTTGGTGGGATGGTTGGAACTCAAAAACATGGGGCGGTCGCTTGGGTTGTATATAAAGCACCGGTTGTGGCCATCACATAAAGAATCACTGCCAAAACTTGCAGTGTTCTTTCATGGCTTGCTGATTTTCCTTGAGGCTTGCCGTTTCTAAGCATGTCTTTGGACACGTGGAAGTCACGTGCCTTGAGATGCACATAGGCATCAGCAAAACACGTGCGCAATACTGCACCGGCATCTATTCTAGCTATGTCAAGACCAAAAAAAACAATAAAACGTTGACTTCTAGAGGATCTCAACTTGGCATTGCTATAGGGTTAGCATATATGGGTTAGAAGGATTCACCCCATCTTGAACACTGATTGCACCGGAATTGAGAGACTCAAGTCCTTCATGACACGATCGATGTCCAAACCATCCCCGGAATCCGGTGTTCGGCCTCGACTCCAGTCGGTGATGAGTTGAGTTGTTTCACCCCGTGGAAGGTCGAAGGGGCGATGAATCAAACGTCGTTTACAGCAATACAGTGACTGGCCAAGCTTATGCACCCTATAGATGACACCCTAACTACTAACGTCTACCCCCTCAATGACGACGTAAATATATGTTGATGGCCTCAGTGTATGGCCTCAAGTGCCTTCTAACAGTAACTAAGACTGAATGCTGCATATTGCTGCATTGCTTGCTTCATGTAGACTCTTCGTTCATAAACCCTTCCATTTGAATCTACAGTACTTCCGCGTCGCAACCAAGGTTCCAACTGCAAAACCACCGTCCGCAGGTCGCCTTGGAATGTTCCAAAACATCTCCGCAGAGCGTCGCGTCTGTTGGTGTTTCCACCGGTGCATCCGGGGTCTCCAACCCCGCGCCGAGCCCACGCAACTGCACCTTCCACCGGCGCTGGGCACCGAGGGAATTCCAGGCGTGGCCGACATCTTCGTTGAACCCTCGCCTCACACGTGTGCACCCAAGGGTCGCGCCTCAGTGCGGATTTGGAGTGCAAGTGTCATTGCCTGGATACGTCACAAGTTGAACGTCCTCTTTTTCCAAGTTGAGGGGACCGGTTACACTGGGCCATTGCTTCAACCCAAAAATCCTCTTCACTTGAGAAACTCCGTTCGTTGCGGTCTCCAAACAGTCTCCCCAACGGTCTCGGCCGGTGCCCCGGCAGATGATGGGCCGGTGCGCCAAAACGAACTCGTGCGACCCAAGGTGCCACCGCACGACCCTTGATGGGCTCCTTGAGTGCGCTGTGACCTGCAAGGAGCCCTGGATGGCACAACTCATGGCCCTCAATGCTCATGGCACTCATCATGCAGAAAAATCCTTTTAAGTGGAGTGAGGGAATGAGAGAGAGGTCCCAAATGAGGTTACCAAATGGTTTCGGCAATCCATGTGTCGGTGATGCTCCCGTCCCGTATGTTGTCCAACCACATCACCTCTTCCCACTGCTGCACAAACCAATCCGGCCTGGATTCAGCTCGAGAACCTTGGCGACGATGGAGCCCGAGTCATAGCCTGTGATCAAAACACATCGTGATGACGTCAAGCAACACCGATCTCCCATCTGGCATTAAGATGGAAGTAGAAAACTCCCCAATGTTCCACTTCCATTTTTATTTCAAAGTTTGACTCATGTAGGTTCTTGACAAGCTATACCTGAAGCCGAACAAGCTGAACTGCTGGATGAAGTTGGGTTCCACTTCTTTTTTGGCCGCTTGGTTTAAAAGAGGACCACACACAAGGCACACACACACACACACACCGTGTATGACAAAGACAAAGACAACTGCTTGCTGTGCCTGTATGTTCTATGTTGGGTCCCAACAAGACTCTCCCATGGACGCTTTCGATCACCCCAACAAAAAAAGGATCTGGTGTGACCAACACTGAGCTTCGAAAAGCGGTCATCGCGGCCAGGCCTTGGTAGTAGGCTTGCTCCCAAGTGCCGCCACAACCTTCCTTTCGCGACCCGGAACGGACCGACGATGCTGTGTTGCTGTGTGGTAGGTACGCATCCGGAACCGTGGCACCTTTGACTGCTCCTACACTTGCTCCTACTACACATCAAATACTGTATGAAACCTCTGCCAAGACTTGACCGTGCAGGTTTGCTTCTGAAGGAAACCCCCCAAAATCCAAAAGAGCCGTGAGCAACCACAAAGTGACTGACTAGGTGGTGACTCTGCGAGTGTAAAGGTTTGGACAACAAGACCCTTTGTGACCATCTCATCCGAATCACACCTTCCAAAATCATCCATCACTTGAGGTCTTGAACAGCTGTAGACATACTGAAAAATACGCTCGGTTTGTTGGTCCCTTGTGGAGACACATGTCACATGACACCTTGCCCTAGGATCCTACATATTCGCCCCTCCAAAAATGCTTGCCTGCTTGGCTTAGCTGTGACACCCCAATCAACAATGAGTTCCTTCGAAGCATGTCCAGAAAACTTAACCAAATCTTTTCACACGCCTTTGTTCTTGCTGTCCTTGGGAACAACAACTGCCCCAGTTCCCACCTTTCCCACACAAAACAAGAACATCAAACAACTGTCCCATCGATCGTTCGTGCGTTTTCGCGCACGTCCCACCGTCCCAACCGTGCCCTCCATCCATGCCCAGGTGCTCGGTGAGTGCCCAGCCGTGCGAAGCGCGGTGTCAGCTGACGCTCCAGGAGCCAAGTGCCCAGGCGAAGGCCCAGCCCCGTCCGCAGATTCTGAGACCTCGTCGTCGGCGTCGGAGCCGGCGCTCGGCGTCTCACCATCGACGGATTCGGACGGATTCGGAGCCGGTGCGCGCTCAGATGAAGACCTCCTTTCAATCAGAGGTTGATACATCTTCCCTGCCTTTGAGGGGATGCCTGATTCAGTTCAGCTTGGGGAGATGGTGCACGAAATCTCCATGGTCATTCAAGGGAAAGAACTGCCGCCTGAATTTGTTCCATGCCCGGTGGAGACTAAGCCTGACTAAGCTGAAAAAGAAGGTAATCATCAACTGAAACTCCTGTTGGAACCTCCAAACATCATCCAAAACTTGAGAAGCACCACAAATATGCCTTGGGAACCTCCTCAATCATTGGTTCCGTGGCATCCAACCTTTGATGCCTTTGGCGGTTGGATGAATGAAACAACAGCATCATACAGCATCGATGGACGAACTGGTGCGCCAAAGAGCTCCACCACCAGGACAAATTGGGATTTGCCGATGAGTTCCATCATGTCCTGCACATGGAAAGCACGTGACACTGCTTTCCCCAAATGCCTGGGGAAGGGGCAGTGGGGCCCCTACCAGGGGTACCCAGTCCAGAACCAGCTACCAGCACCTCCAGGCGGGTTTACAGAAGCCCCTGAAGACGTGTTGTGCCAGTTGTGCATCCAAAAACCATCCTCGTGTGTATCGCAACAATCCCCCCCCCAAAAAAATTAACGAATTGGAGGACATTCTGTTCAACAAGGGTCTCACAACTGCATGTCACGGACGTTGCTTCATAAACAGGATTACAAAAAAGGAAATTCACCCAAGAGTGTCTATAGGACCTGGCGAGTCACACCACACTTCGTCTTCCAAGTGTCCTCTTCCAAGAAGGTATACGGTATACGTACATAACTGCTTTCGGAGTAGATGATGGCACAGACCCCAAGATGTCCTTTAGATGGGGGTCCATACAAACCACCGAACGACTGGGGGCCCAGGTCCGTGTCATCTACCCTCAACCCGTTGCTGCTATAATAGTGATTTCCTCTGTATATGTTGTTGCCTCCAAGTATGCATCAACTCGTCGTTTTCAAACCACGTTGTCCAACCCACAGAGGTTGGTTGGAAGGAGGACCAATGGGAATCCGAGCCACTCCCACATCTGCCCGTGTGGACCTGCCCTACACTGCTCCAACAGACCTCCGTTGGACACCCGTTGGATGATCCAGAGGCTCTTTTTTGCGACTCATCAGATTCCACACGAAGTCGGATGATAATAGCTCCGTGGCACGCAGAACAGTGGATCGACATTGCGCAAACCTACATAAATAAATATCCCAGGACCCTCCATGTATGCCATATATGCCTACATTGGGGTGGTTTGGGGGGTCAATGTAGGCAGAGTGTCTGGGTATAACATTCCATGGAAGTGGCGAACCATGGTAAACTGGAATCCCCAGATCAGGAAAGCACCTGCTCTTGGGGAGTTTGGTCCTCACTCCGCTGTCCCTGACTCCGTGGAGTTTGGTCCTCGTCCACCACGTTCACGTGACATTTGTTCCTGGGCTAAATGACTTGGGAGGACCTCGTGGAGCCAGAGGTGGGCCCTGTAAACGACACGCCAACAGGAACATCACCTCCTGTCGGTTCCCTAACCTGTCAGTTGATGATGACATGTTGAAAGCATAGTCGACATCGCTCGAGCTCAAGATCACCTATTGGTGTCCGAGATGAAAAAAACTGTCATGCTCCTTTCAGTGGTCTGAGAGTCCGGGCCAATAGGGGGAGCACGTGTCCATTCAACACAACACATGAATATATAGATAAGCAAATAAGCACAACATGTTGTGGTCATCGTGGGTTTTAGATGCTCACTGCATCGTCGATACTTTGAACCTTGCAAATTCCTGGTTCATGTAGCGTCACCTTGACCTCGGCCCCAAAACTTATATAGATGCGCTGTCCAGGACCACAGAAGAAACAACAAAATCACCAGAAAGGGATTTAGCATGATTTAACCATATGGGCTATGTAGGGAAAAGAACAAGTCCCCTTAGCCTTAAGTAAAACCTGGATAAGCTGTAGCCACTTGCAGCAGCTGTTGGAATGGAATGGACATGAAGGACGGATGAGCCCCAAGGCAGGAAGGGCATTTCTGGGCCACCTCGCAATCCCCAAAGCCGATGGAAACCGACATGTGTATGTGTTCAAAACATCATTGAAGTTGGTGACATTTGTTGACTTGCTTTTGGGATCACGATGACTTTTTGGCATACTATAACTAACCCTTCTTTTTTTTGGGGGGGGGGGCGGGGGTGGTATGGCTAGGACAGAATTTAGCAACCGGTGGACACATGAATTAGGTTGACCAACCACATGTGCGAGGGACTAAGGAGTTCTCTTCGTTTCGTGTCTCCGAACAACCAACAAAGCTGCATCAAAAAAAAAGCCGAAGAGTGGTCCCAGGCACTTTACAAAGCCAAACAAAAAGGGCCCGGTGTCTATGGGAGCCTATCATGTAGTAGCACGCCACTGCGGGTGAAACACGTGACGTCGCTGTCTGTCTTCGTATGTCTCATGTTCGTCGAAGGATGTCATCAGCTTAACCAAACCTTGGAACTCCTGGCTTTGCTTAATTAAAGGACACAAAGACACAAGTAGAACATAGTAGAACTAAATAAGTTGAAGATGAGTTGCATTCATTCATCAACAAGCCTCCAAGTTTGAGCTTCTTGCTAAGTGTGATGAGTTACCGGCAGCGTTCTTGTTTTTTTCTCATGTTCTTCGTGGGCCCGTCAGGTCCGTCCCCGTCCGAGCCCAAAACGGCTCAGTTCAGGAGAAAACCCCCCCCCACCCCTACCAGAACGGCTTGTCTCCAGGCGTGGAAACGGGGGGGGGAGTGGTCTCATGAACTCTGGGAAGAAGGCACACATGGCTTACCCGTTCCTGGCCAGGCTGAGTGAGATTGTATTGGGTGTGTCCCATTCCCTGTAACAGTGGATGATGATGGTTCAGTTGCAGGCGTTTCTCAAAACTCGTGATAATTGATCATCTTTTATACTGTCTACAGGTCATGGGACACACACAAAGTGTGTATTTAGACTAAATTTAGAACAGGAAAACCGCCATAAATGGGTGGTGGTCTAGTTTCCTTGCCTAGCCTGGTTGAGTGCGAGGCGAACTTCTGGGTTTGAACAGGGACACCCGCCCCCAGAAAAATGTGGTCCATCTTCGGTCTTTGGGTCCTTGCGATCAGGTCTCCCAACGTTTCAATGATCACCCGGCATCCCACACCCATCTTCATCCACAGCGGTCAGGTCGTGGCGCTGCACCACGCAAGCTCACGCTCCCGCTCCCACGCTCCTACGTGCTGCACGAGCGTCACCAGGCCCACCTTGAGCCCCTGGAGCCTCAGCTGCCGCGCCGCGTCCAGGGCGCGGTAGAGCGCGTCGCCGTAGGAGACGATGTACCCGGCGTCGTGGTCGTCGCCCAGCACGAGGTCATCCTTTCCTGAACACACCAAGAGGAGGAGACTGAGGGATGGTATTGGGGGAGGTAAGGATGGTGTTCGTCCCTGTTTCTTCTACGTCTTGGAATTCAGAGGTATTTTTTGTATGTATTATGTCCAGCTTTGTGTTTTTTCGAATTTCTGCTCCTGAGACTAAATGAGCCTTGTTGAACCCTCCATTTGCGTTTTGAGGATTGGGCTGACCCACCAGTTCGACCTGCATCACAGTGATTCTGTTTGTCGGATCCCTGAGGCTCTTTTGATGGCTTCCCCACCGAGCACGCCAAGTCTCCATTGGTAAATCAACGCCCCTATGCTTTTGGATCTTTGGGGCTGTTGGTGCTTGCTGCTTGCCGGAAACACTTCCACACCTTTTGACTTCAGTGGGTTAGATCCCCTCCCAGTCAGACTGGGTGCTTCCCACTCAATCGACCTCCGCAAGGACCCGGTCACATCCAAGTGTCCCAGCTCGAACTTCCGCTCGGCGAAGAAGGGCTGGCCATGCTCATCCAAGATCTCAGGGACCTCTGGGGAACCAGGTCGGTGGTTCAGCTGTTGTTTTTCCAAGTGTTGTGAACAAATACAGGCTAAGCAAACTAGAAAAACCAGCTAGTCCGGCCAGTAAGTTTAAGCGCCAAAGAATGACCTTCTTCACATCCTAACTAAGCCATTCACATCCTAAGTAGGTTTCCACTACATCCTCACCCTAAGCCATTCACATCGACCTCTCCTGACTAAAGTAGTCCACACTTATTTTGACCCCACATCATATGTTTAACATTGCCTAACTACGTTCGGAGGCTGAAGTTGGATGATTCAATCAGTGCAACTCAACTCCTGGAGTAGAATGTGGAACCCTGGACATCCCTGGAGTGGAGCACAAACTCGGCTTTTTCCTAAGGCAACTGCTTAACTGGGAGTTGCTGATCTCCCTTGCACAATCATCTTGGTGAACTGTGGAGTGCCACTGACGCTCTGAGAGGTTCAGGAACTTGCAAGCCTATGCCTCCCGCTGATCAACATGGAGACTCTGGAATCAAATCCCCAGCCACCTAGACCAAATCACCTAACAAATCCATTGATACATTTTTCGCGACAGTTGTAGAGAAAGGGATCGAAAGGGCAAGAAAGGGAACCCCGACCCATGAGACACAAACATTCAAACTGATAAAGAACATATACTCTTCCTGGAATTAACATGGAAGTGGATGGCACCACCTGTTTGGTCTGTGGATTTCATGGTCTTCCGAACTCGGGGTCAGGACCTCCACTTCCATGTGAGTTCCAAGGAGTGTATATACCAGCACCGAACCCAACAGGTCTCCTTTTGGGTGAAAGGCCCTAGCAGGTGAAAGGCTTCGACCTGCTAAGAGTCGGTCCGCCATCTGCGCCTTGGAGCGGGTGGTGTAAATGAACCGCAAACCACTTTGCCAAAAGATCCTGGATGCGCGCCCCATGCGTGGCATTGTGTGACGATCGAGCTCGAGCTGGGGTCCGTCCCGCGGTCCGTCTCGCCGTGTGTCTGGGTGGCTTTGCCCACAGTAGGTCCATATCTTCATCTGCTGGTGATTCGGGTGTGTGGACTTCAAATGTGGAGCTGCTGTAGCTCCTACAGTAGCTCAAAAAATGGGTGATGTGATGGACCAAATGACCAAGCCAGACCTCTTAAGAGATCTCTTGTGTGGGTGTGATTTTGTTGTGGAACTGAGTGATCAGCCACTTGGGGACGCGAAACGGTGAGGCCGGGCGACCCAAACCATACCAGGGCTCCCCCTGGGCCAGGGGTGTCCAAATCATCACTCCTTAGAGGTTCATGGGTGTCTATTAACCACCCCAAACAGGGAGCCCTGGTAGATGTGTTGTTGGTCTCCAATTCTTCGTACCTGTCTCCAATTCCCCTCGGTCGAGGCGAACGAGGGGGGCGAGCGCTGTCGGTCCTGTCCACGACTTGAGCGGTCTGATGCACATCGGCTGGGAAGAAGAGCTGGATCTCCGGAGCATGTTGACCTGACGTTAGAAGGCCATCAGCTGCAATTAGCATGGGGTTGGCTATGGCTATCACTTGAGTTCTGGCGCTGAGCGCCCCCCTTCCCGAACCGAGACTGGGCAAAGCCTCGGTTCGCTCAGCATTGAAAGTGAAGGGCTTTGAGGTGCCCCCACTTGATCCAGCCAAGCTTCTTGAACTGCAAACCTCCCAACACGTGCTCCCTATGTACATCACAGGACCACGGGGCGCCCTCCGGGAGAACTGCGGCTGCAAAAACCGAGGGTGGCAAGGCTCTTCCACTTGGAGAGGGTGGGGTGGAAAGGCTCATGGGTCCGGCTCCTGAAAGACCAGCCATTCCAGCGGTGCAGTTCTGCTCAGCTTCCATGATGGTCTGAGGGAGGATAAATATCTATCCTTTTGGAATCCTTTTTGGAACCTTGTCTGGGTTGTTGTGTGTGACCCCCTCAAGAACCTCCCTAGTCTGAGAATATGGTTCAACCCCCCTTTTCCACCTCTTTGAGTGCGGGAGCTAATCACCCCAAAAAGTCTTGCAGGTTATGCACTGGGTAGGAAAGCTCCTACTACTTACTACTTGGGGTGCTGTTGACGTATATGTTGGGAATTGGATGGAAATGGTCTGAATGCTCAAGAGCAGCGTAAAAATGCTGATCCGGTGATCCGGTCTATTTCCACACTTCATCCCACGTTCACTCTGCAAAAGGATCCCCTTTGGTCGATGCGGCCGAGTGGCTCTTCAATCCCAGGTCGCTGAAGAAGTTGTTGACTCCGAAGTGGCAGGTGTTGTCCTTAGCGTTGGCTTCGGAAGGATCCCCTGACCGTTCGACCACTCACAAACTGTGAAAAAACATGTTGGCCTGGGTGGGTGGCCTAAAATGTTGAACATCTTAAAACAACGGATGTTTGGCACCAAACGGTGCGCATCAAGGCCTTTGGGCTTGGTCCGGCCGGTGTGCGGGCCAAAGTCCGAACTTCCGGGTGAAGGAACGGTTTGCCTGGGTGGTTTCATTTACAGTGTTTGAATGCAAGTTGCAAGGAAGTCGATGCAACAAAAAACAGGTGCAAGAACTATAGAAACTTGACTCTAGATCCTAGCAGGCCCTAGCATCCATCCATATCCATCCCCAGTATCCATCCAACCTCCCAAGCACCACCAAGCAGCCGACATGTCATCCACACCACTGTGGCTAAAGTGACACAAAACGTTGCAGTGATTCAGCCGCGCCATACAAACCTCCAGCCACTGTGCAAAGCTGTGGAGAGGGAGGAAACCAAACATCTGCTTGCATTTGGCACCACCAGTCTCCAACCAACTCCAGCCAGCGTGTAGAGCTGTCGAGAGGAACAAGAATCCAAGTCTGTTCGGAGTGGCAACTGTAGAGCGACAAAATTTTGGGGGGCTCCCAGCATTAACTGCTGCTACTACTACTACTGCTGCCACCACCACCACCACGACTACTACTCCTACCTATTGCTACTACTAACTACTCATCACTACTCCTCCCTGGGACAAGGTTTTACACTCCAAACGGGTGGCTTTATCAATCAAGTCTTGAACTTATAGTTACTGTTGCTTCACCCTCTCCAGCTTGCCCAACCTCTTGCGACCCTTCCCTCTTCCAACCATCCCCTCTTCTTTCTGTCATCTTTCCAACACTGATCCTCCGAGGCATGTGGGCCTCACTCAGGATCATCTCTTGGAAGGCCGCAAAGGTGCCGAAGACCGCCTCTCGCGGCGTTTTGGCGCGCAGCTGGCGCTTCTCCCCGCGCCCAGGTTTGGGGGAGTGCGTACAGTGAGGAAAGCCACTCAGGGGGCCCACGGGGGGGCGCCAGTTTTGTGTGTGTACTGAGTGTACTGCGCCTGCCGCCCGGAGGAGCTACCGAAGCCGCCACAGGCGCCGAAGTTGCTGCGCTCCTGGAGAGGTTGACGTCTGTGACGGGTTGTCTGGGCCTTTTCAGTAAAATGAAAAGGAAGACAGAGCTGCAAAGCTGTTGGGAATCCAATGGCTAGTTCAGCCACAGGACTTATTGGCCACAGTGTCCGTTCCCAGTGCTAGCAGGAGGTGCTGAAAAAAGATAAAAAAAAAGGCGGGTCATGGGTTTATGTTCCTCAAACTCTTGGTGAGCGATATTGGAACTGCTCAACTTTCGGCAGTGTGGACCAGCACTTCAAAAATGGCTTGAAGGGTGTCTCTCAATCTGTTTGCAAGGAGTTCTAAGTCCGTCCTGCATGTTTCAAATCTCAGGAGGTCCTCGAAACGTGGTGTTCATCACGGTGATTTGGAACTCCACCCCCGGGAGCATAGAAACCGCAGCTCACCCTCAAACCCATGCGCATCCTCAAACCTCCATGCTTCTCGGCTCTGTCGCGCCGTATGTCCCCCGCTTCCACGTGGCGCCCGTGTCCGGTCGCCGAAGGCGCTCCATGATGCCACCCTTCACATAGACTTCGGGAAAGGCATCGCCCACCTGTGGCGCTCCAGATTCCAGAAACACGGCGGTCTATGGCCGTGTGGGACGTCACAGCGGTTGTCTAGACCATCTGGAGATCCCTAAGGAGTGCGTCCATTGGAGACCCATACAGGATGGTCCAGGTATACCCTCTCCACATCTTTTCATGCGGGCCATTGCGGGCCTAGAATCCACCTGCGGAAGCACATGCATCCAAGTTAAAATGGAACATGACCGATCCCAACACCGCCAACACCTGCGGCGGAGAGCGCAAGAACCAGAAACTCACCCCTCCCATCATCTCCTCGCCTTCTTCAAGCCACAGGAGCCTTCCAGATCATTGTCGATCACCAGCACTTGTCGCTTCCGCGTCTCGGCATCCAGCTGCTTCAAAATCCGAACCACGGACTCCTTAGAGCGACGGTTTTGTGGTGTTGTTTTCCTTTCTTATAGTAATATGTTTGACGTGCGGCGTTTTGGCTGACGGATGGGGGTTATATATACCCTGACTGTCCTCACAACCTGCAGCTTCACTCATTGACGCTGCTCACTTGACCGGACCTCGAGCGTCGCGTTGTGGGTGGCGCATGGCGCATCAACTGGCGCATCGTGAGACTCCGTGATGCTCCGTGGTTCCATGTTCACGCCATGGGACTGCATTGGCCGATCAGTTGGGGTGGCTTCGGGGGTCGTAGGCATATATCGTACATGGATATACATGGAGTGTCTGGGTCATTATAGGAAGGAATCAAATGCCCAAAAAGATTCTGACTTTGATGGGTTCATGACAGGCCCTGGCCCTTCTTGGTAGCAACACCCAGTCGGGTGGGTGTCCAGGTGCCCCCAGCGTCGATCCAAAGAGGGGTTGTGGTTGAACATGTGGGTCCATCCTGTTCGACAGAGGTTGAAGAACCCTATAGGCTATAGGTACCCCAGGTGGCAGGTCCTAGTTCAGGTCACTTAATCTCTGGGTTCGACATCTTACAGATCTTACAGTTCAACACGCCCTTTTGGGGTGATGTTTCGGAGGGTCGCGGACCAAGGATTACAGATGATTACCAACAAAAAGCACCGCATGTATATATAGATCATCTTGATTGCATTATATATATATCACGTGATGCTCCAACCGGCACCAACAATTTACACACAAGGAAAAAGAAACATGTTGCCTTCGTCTCTTCACCGCTCTGTCCACCGACCGTGTTCACCACCGACCAACCGTCCCGCGGAGTCTGATCCGACGCCAGGCGACGCCAAAGACCTGTCGTGGAGCACCAAATTTGCCCGCGCCCAGGTAGGTCCTCGGGGAAAACCGCGCCAAGTGCGAGCTTCATCAACGTTGGGCTCCAAGAGCAGGAGAAAGGACCCAAGAATGTTTGCAAGGTGGCAGAATTGATGAATTCATGAGCAGGCCGGCTACGTAGATGACTTCAGGGCCTCGAAAGAGAGAGAGAGAGAGAGAGAAAAAGAGAGAAGTTTAAAGAAAGCAAAAAAGGAAGAAAAAAAGAAAGGAAGGAAGGAAGGAAGGAAGGAAGGAGCGAGCGAACGAACGAACGAACGATCGAACGAACGAACGAACAAAAGAAATAACGGAAAAACAAAACACAATAAAGAACACATAACAAAAAACATAGTGAAAAAAAACACATAAAGAACAAAATAAGACAGGAAAAAACAACACAAATAACGAAAGACATCGAAAGACGAAAGAACGAAAGACGAAATAATAAATAGAGAACGAAAGAAAAAACAAGGGAGGGTTTGATCCCATGAGCAAGGTCTGGCTCACTCACCCTTTAGTATGGGACAGGACCCTGCCAGAATGGGTGCTTGGTGTAAAAAATGGAGCCGGTGAACATGGAACATGGGATGAACGAAGGGTAGCAAGTTTGGAGGACCTCTGCCGAAGGTACCCGATGAACCCTCCAAATCAGATTGACCAAAACGACAAGGTTGTTCTGGAAGCTGCTGCCAGGTGCTTTATGGTGGTTTAACATGGTTGAACGCTTGTCATCTCAACTTCCGACATTCAAAGGTCCTCAAAGAATCGTGAACTCGGCATCCCTTCCACGTCAGGTGGTCGTTGGAGACCCTTTTGGGAGGTGTGTCCTGTATTCTTCTGCATGTGCTGAAGGGTCTGGAAGGATCTCCATCAAAAAAGAACAAACTCTTCAAATTTCCTGGCCCGCTCTTCGGGGATTTGTACACAGGGGAGCGCTCCTCCGGGCCCAAGAGACCCGGGGCCAAGACACTCTTGAGGGTCTTTGGTCTTGGGGACTTGCTGCAAAAGACCTGCAGCCTTGTCGAGGCCGCGGTCCTGCAGGTATTGGACCTCGCATGCGAGGTGCAAACATCCAAAAGCAACCAGAAGCCACAGGGCATACGGAAGGTCCAAATGGAGGGACTCAATTGGATGGATGGATATGCAGTAGGCTCTTGATGAATAAAAACCTCTTCGGTTCGCCGGACCCAGGTGACTACTCTGTTTCATCTTCAACGCCAACAAAAAACACATGACAAAACCATCAGAGATATGCTAAGTCTGCTAAGTGGTTAACATAACTCTTCATCATATATTATATTATATGGAATGTGATGATCAGCCCGGTCCGCCTAGGTGGTTACAGGTGATTCCAACACCTTGTCGCCTTCCAGGTAATTAGGTGGATCGCCCGGGGCTCCTCTCACGGCCAAGTCATGACCCGCAAGTCATGTACCTCACAAACACAACCAATAATTACCTCACTATACCAGGACCCTCCAAGGGGTGCCCAATGGAAGCCTATAGGTAGTGTGGGGTAGTCCATTGGACACCCCTTGGAGGGTCCAGGTACCTGATCTTCTTGTCACATTCAGCACCAAACCTCTGCTTCTTCTCTCGGGCCAATGTGGAACCGAAAACGGTCTTCCTCAGGTCGTGCGGGCCAACCGTCAAGTGCCCTGCATGACCGTCCCATCTTCGCCCAGTGACGGCGTGCTTCAGAGGCATGGCATCATGGCCTTCATTGGAGCCTTCCAAGTCGCGGACACCTGGCGAAAATGGCCCGAAGAAGCCCGACGCATGGCACCATCATATGTTAACATGTTCACAGATTCCCTAGGGATCCACATACCTTCTCAGAAGGTACTTGGGCCCTCCAAGCCTACATAAATAGTCTCCAATCACCTTGTGAGAAGGTACTTGGATCCCTAGGGATTGATGAATTGCTTGATTGATTGAGTTGATCACATCTTGAAAGTAGATTGCACATTGAAGACACATCCCATGAATTCCATAGCCCTACCAGGCCATGGCAATTCTTTTTCACAATTCTATGCTGCAGCTGTGTCCACACAGGGAAAAAACAACTACTCATCAGTAACCCAGGCGATCGCAAACTTCGGAGACCTCCACCAGCTTTGGTGAATTCAATCCACACAAACACACACAGTCCTTTGGAGGACGTGTTTGTTCCGGTGCGATCCAATCAAACATGTCCATGTCTATCTTCGTCTATCTCCTATATAAACCCTCTTCACTGTTAATAGTTCATGGTCGTGAACTTGGCAAAAGAAAAACCTATACATTTAGCAGAAACTCACAAACGATCACAAACGCTCGTTCAGAACCACTGCAGCCACACGATCTCTCACATGGTCCCCCAAACGGAGAGCGTGTCTACGGACTGTGCCTGGACACATGGACCTTTTGATGACCACAGCGTATGGCCCATCATGCAACACCTGAGAGACTCGTCGTGCCCACGTGGAAGAGAAGGCCCGACGCGACTCAGGGGACTGCGCCGCGAGAAGCGGCCGACCGGGATGGTGGTGGAAGGGGGTGCAATGGGGCGGCACAATATGGCAGTCCCATGGAGTGGGAATACGTGATAAACGTGGAAAGGTTCTGTTTGGTCTGGAGAGGTTATGAAGCAATGAACCCGAGTGGATGCTGAATATACGAGAAGAAACATCTGGACAAACATGAAACGGATCGTCAATGTGGAGAGGTGAATCAAGAAACAGAAATCCATCCGATTGCCAACTCAGGTGGACAGGTTTATAGCTTTCACCCTTTAAAACCAAAAAATCCCTGCCAGCCAACTGTAGACAGTTTTGTATACAGCTTTCAGTAACTACCTGGACCTGGAGGGGTGTCCAATAATGGAGATCCAGTAGTGGGCTGGGGCGAAACCAGCCAGGTCACCCTGCACAGGTGTCTTGGATTTGCTGTCCGGGAACCTTCAACAATTAAAAGAACATTCTATCCCTAGGGATCCACATACCTTCTCAGAAGGTACTTGGGCCCTCCAAGCCTACATAAATAGTCTCCAATCATGTTCTGAGAAGGTACTTGGATCCCTAGGGTATCATATTCTATCCTATCCCTTGAAGCCCTAGGGAAGCAGTTGTACCGAACCTCAGAAGGTAATTGGACCCGACGATGGCGCCTTCATAAATAGTCTCCAATCACCTTCTCAGAAGGTACGTGGATCCATAGGGAAGGAGATCTTGCCCAGTTCGGACAAAAATCAAAACCATCACCTCACACCGGCCCAAAACCAGGGTGTGGAACTACCTGCCTACTTCTTCGTGCAGTTTCTGCACGAAAACCGCACCGTCCTCTCTTCACCGTCCTCTCCCCATCGACGTGCGTGACAGCCGACGGCTCGGCGCATCGCCCCGTAGAGCGCATCCAACTCCTCGCCCTGCACGTCCTCACTCCGCAGGCCATGGCCCTGCAGCGTCTGCCCTGGCGACGCGGAACGTCGCATAGCGACGGTATGGCCTGGCCTCACCCACAGTGATGGACCCGGGACGTTTATGCTCGTTGCGTTGAGTTTTGGTCGTCTATATCTGTCATATCCATCCAACTTTAGAGGCAAAATGCCATGGAATCACTTGCTACAATTCTGGGTTTGCAGCTCCAGGCTTTCTGTTTTAGGGATGGCATCTATGCTATATATATATATATATACATGTGACCAGTCCGTGCCGGGCAGCCAGCCCCCCGCGCGCCTACATTGAATCCCTTCATGTAGGAGGAGGGGTGCCCTGCGATGGTGGTGTCGTTGTCATCGATCTGCGCGCAGAAGGCGGGTCTTCGAAGCAGCACCCGCTTGGACCACCCTTGGTGGCCTAATAAGGTCTGGTATGGTACTTCACTCGTTTGGGGGTACCTAGACCTTAGGGAAGTAAGAGGCTAACCAGGTCTTGTGAAGTACCATAGGGAAGTACCTTATATAAGGTCTTACATGCAAGTTGCACAAGTTCATAGGCTAGTAAGGTTCATTCAATTCAAGGGACAAGCTAGGTCAGATGTCCATGAGTTCGATAGCTAAGTGTTGTCGGAGCTGGAACTGGTGGAACTTTAAGCTTCACCTGGTCAAACTGTACATGTTCCCCTCTGGTAAGTCCCAACAACATTGGCAAATCTCCAAAAAACAAAAACAGCGCCCACAACTTGGTGTTTTGGGGCTTCCCACCTGCGGTGTTTTGGGGGTGAGGCCACAGGACATTGTCAAATATTTGATAAGTTTGATCCTCATGCCAATGTTATCAGTCGCTGCACGCACAACAAAAGATCTCGCGTGCAAAGAAGAAGATCTCTCCACTGAGAGCACCAGAAGGACCAAAAGCTGACTCAAACCCCACTCTCGTTGCCCCAAATCAGAACACAGGAAAGCACAAAGTCACAAAGGCTAAAGAAATCAGCAATGATTTCCATGGAAAGCAGCCCTGAAAGCCGTGGTACTTGTCATGCGGAAAAAAAAACCTATGAAACACAACTGCTGCCCCAAGCCTTGTCCACTGCATGTTAATTCAACCAATAAAACACACGAACATGAACATCAAAGGACACCATGAAACAACCACAGCACAAACTCTTGCGGATCGCTGAGCCTGACAGCCTGGCAACCTGGCACATCATCCTGGACCCTTCAAAAGACTGCTCATCGGACATGAAGCCCCCAAACACCATCAACAAACCAAAAAGGGGTGGTTCATGGACTATCAATTCAAGGGGAGTGTGCGTTTGTGCAATTTGCGGCTGCACTCGAGAGGGAAGAAGCACGAAAATCCTCATCCTGTCAACCGTCCAAGCCGCGAAGAGCTTCACATTGAGCTGCTGTGCTACCGCCATGCGTGCAGCCTCTGCAGTGTTGCCCTCCATCCTTGGCGGTGGGTGCTGATAAAACCAGTCAGTGCACGTCCAAAAGGCCTCGTGGGAAGACAACGCACTTGAACAATATAGATCAGTGAAAGTGGAAGAATACTCAGGTTGAAACTCGACCAATCTCTGAAACCACCACCCCGATTTTAGTCGAACTCGTCCCCAAAAGTCCAGCGTTCTTGACGACCCTGAGCCAGTGCCACTAGTATTGCGGTGACCCTGAGCCTCTGGCGACTAGGCCACCTCAAACAGAGATTTGGATTCCAGTGGGTGGTGACAAGTATCACGAGCGTTTCTGCCAGGAAGGGGAGCACTTTTTGACACTTTTTGAAGGGTTCTGGCCTGATGGGACGCTACAACATGTGGCAGGCCCAGTAGTAGATGATGATGATGATGATGATGATGCAGGCCTTCCTCCAAAATAGTGACTTGCTTGTTTACCGACGGCTCTGCAGGTTTCATAGGACACACCTAAGGTGTTTACAGACTGTTACAGGTAAAAGGGCAAACCCAAGGTTAACCGCACTTTCCACCTGTTGGATGTCGCGGGGAAACCAAAAATGCTTTGCAGGTGATCCATGTACTTCCTAGGTAGGCAGGCGTGTGGAGCACACTCAGGTAGGACCCCCCCTGGCCGAATCTCTACGTCTCAACGACAGGCATCTGTGAACCATCCGAGCTGAAACAGCACACCAAGCGTTCTGCGCGCTTGCGCGGAACGGAAGGGGCAGGGATCAACCGAACTGCTGCAAGGTGATTTACTGGTGATCGTCGTTGGGAAGGTCGTAGCCAGGATGTAACAAAAACAAACATCCAACAAACATCTCAGATCCAAAGTCCCAGCACGCCAGCCAGACCATCTATAGATGAATGACCTTATAATCAAAACAAAGAACCCCCGCCAAGCTAAAACACAAAGGGGCCCCCATGGGCCCCCCCCTAGTCACCCTGGTCATGCCCCCGGTCCCACTCATCAATTACTCGCAGGTTCAGAAATGAATTCCCAAGCCGGACCATCCCGCGACAACGACGCAAAGGGTGCCGCCTCGCTCGGCCAAGGCCACGCCATTCACGTGGCCCCACATGTGGCCGAGTCGACCCGAGCTGAAGGCAATGCCCTCCGTCAAGCCCAGCTCCTCAGGAAAGCGCCAAGTCCGCGAGTCCGCGGAGTCCACGGAGAGGTCGGTCCGGTTCAGATTCGGTGGGATTCTGAAGCGATGGAGGCCGTCGAGTTTGGAAGTCGACAGTCTTCAGTATGAGAAGTCCTGCCTGGAGGGGAAGTTTTCAGGATTAGGACACTAGTCAGCTGAGGGGGAGCTTGAAGAAGGTGCTCTTTTCGGAGAAAGAGGCTAGTCTACATGGTCTTGCCTGAGCATCATGGTCAGTTTTTCTGCATCAAATTCATGTTGCCTCAAGTCCTGGCATGTTTGGCAGGTGTCCTCCACGCTGGGCACATCAGCAGCTGCCTTTTTATCTCTCTCTCTCTCTCTATCTCTCCCAGCCTCCCAGCCATCACCTTTGTCAGCCCCACCTTTTTCCTGGGAGCGAACCAAGAGGGGTTAAGTGACCTTATAGAACCATTCTGGGGTACCTATGGGATAGTCTATGAGATCTATGAGGTCCTCCAACCTCTGTTGGAATCCTTCCTAAACATCCTGCTGTCAAGGATCTTCCTGTCTTCCTTCACTTGGCGCGAATACTTCCACAGGTCGTTTGGACCTCATGAGACTCTAGGGCCTCTAGGGTGGATTCCATGGACCAGGGAGACGTCGGACACCTGGGTCCTCTGGACAGGACCTGCCTCGCTCGTCTCTGCCGGTTTTCCACGTCCAAGACTCTGGATGTCCAGGTAGAGCCTTATGTCCCACGCGGTACTCGAACAGCCTCGCGGTTCCGCGAGTTCCGCGAGTACGCTCACAGCTGCAAAGCCAAACAACGGTTTGAGGCTTGTGCGGGGTGCACCCCACAGCAAAGGGGACTTGGACGGTCTCAGACCCGCAGTTAGTATGAGAGAATGGGGACTCGAAGATCTGCAGTGAAGCTGAACAAATAAATCTACCTTCCCTCCTTCTTCATCTCCTATTCTTCTGAGCGTAGAAGGCAATAAGGGGGTCTGTATACGAGCTACGTAGTTATACTACCCGTACTTTTTGGTATCGAGGGTCATGTCATCTCCCATGGTATCTTGGATCTGCAGGTGTCCAAGTCCCTGAAAACACTTGTCGCCGCTCAGCGCAGATTGGGTTTTCAAAACCTTCATCACGTTCCAAACGTTAAGTTCGGACCCCAGAAACGAACCAACATCATGCCCTAAACTTCGATCAACATCAGCTGTATATCTCTTGGATTCTAGGATCCTCAAGTATCAGTTAGATTGTAGGCCGGCCGTAGTAATTCGCTTGTTTACTGACTGTTTCAGGTAATACTGCAAAAGGACAAACCCAAAGGGTATCTTCTGAAGATGTGTCATGCATCTGCCATGCCATCTGCCTCTCCACCGCTATCTGCCCATGGAGCACAGCGAACAAGTACTGCGTGGCCACGCGGTGTCCCGCTTCATCGAAAAAGGTCGGTACCTCGGCGATCACATGCTTTTGGCGCGTTCTGGCTGATGTTTTCATGGCACGATGTTTGTGGCACTCATAGAGGAGTCGATCTGGCACCATTCAAGTTGTTTACTTTGTCCAATTCCGCGTTCCCTTCATGCGATCCCCCCCAAGTCTTTACAGCAATCGTCCTAGTTCTACTCACGTGCCCGTGCCATCAAAGCAGCACAGGATGCTCACTAGGATGCTCTATGTTCGGCTTGGTTGACTGTTGAATCTTTGAGCTCGGTCACTGAATTCCCTGAAACCTTGGTAACTGGCGATTGATATTCCAAAAGTTGTATGTACGATGTATGCATATTATTACTACCCCCCCGCCAGGTCTCTAAGAGTCCGCTTGTTCGGCCTTAACAGGTCTGGTGACCTCTTGCAGGATGCTGGCATATTACAAATGACATATCATGAATATGCATCAAACATAGCTGTTTATATACTATGTTCTAATAATCAGTATGATTCCTCCTCCAAGTGACAGTCGGTCCTCCGGAAGTGTGTGTTTCATGTGTTTACGATTCATGGTGGTGCCTCAGTCGATTCAGTAGATTTTTTCTGGTGCTGTTTACTCGGTTTACTGTGACAAGGCGCAGCACCAACATCCTTTTCATCCATCCAAATCTACATCACACACACACAGCCTGGGTCTCCAGGCAAACTTGTCGGGTCGTGCGCGGAAGAAGGAGTCCAAAAGACAAACCTGCTGTTCTCTCGCTCGAAAGCAAAGCCGGATGAGTTGGGCATAGTTGGAAAGAGCGAGGTCGTTTGCAAGGAACACATTCCCAAACACTCCATGTATGCCATATCTGCCTATTACATTGGGGTGGTTTGGGGGGTCAATGTAAACATGTATCAATGGAGTGTCTGGGATAGACTTCATTCATCTTCCTTCTTCATATTGATTATACTATATTGATCATCTTTTTGGGTCACATGCTTGCAAGCCTATGACAAAGAAACAAGTCCAGTGTTGACAAGTCGAGGCAACATGCTCAACTGCTGACAGAAAACGGCGTCTTTGGTGTGTAAGGGTGCAGGACACCCAAGACCACAGGGAAGGCTTTGGAATCGAACTTTGCTTCCTCTTTCCTCCGGCCCTCACGGTGGGGGCCCAGGTCCAGCCGATTGAGACGTCCAGCGCAGGAAGGACGTGGGAGGAAGGACGGTCCCAGTGAGAGGGCGATTCGTTTCCGTCCAAAAGAAATGCTGCACGTCCAAAACCACGTGGAGACAGGGTACATGAATATGACTTTCATGGAAAGGATATTCACCAGGTTCCAAGTCGTGTGTCGTGTGGTGTTCCATTAGGGTCATGCTCACATGGGGATTGGAGAACATCATGGGAACCTTGTTCTTCTTGAGTGGAGACCGTGGAGACAGTTCCCGACTCTACAGGTCTCCAGGTCTCACGGTCTCCTCGTTCGAGGGTTGGGCCCCAAACAGGTCGAACGCAGTGTTTCCCCAAAAAAATGCCAGCACCCAACAGGTCCCAAAGTCAAGAACCAATGGATTTTTCCGCTGGAGCATGCAACAACTCATGTTGTCTCATCATATCTGTTGTTTTGTTGTAGTAATGTTGTGTTTGAGCGTCTGATCAGTTTCCGCCTTCCTGTTCTGCCTTTCCTCCGGTTCCGCCTCACCGCCTCACCGGCTCATGCGTCGCCACACCGCCTTCCGAACGCCTCCCTCTCACCGGCCTCGGGCATCATGTCGAAGGCACCGCCGGTGTGGCCGCCATAGCCCGAGGCCCCGCCACAGGCGGTGAAGAAGACCAAAGCATCTGAGAGCTGCGCTGCCCAGCGTGGAGGCTTGGCTCCCGCTTAAATAGGCCGTTTCAGACGGGCAGGCGGGTGAAGGGTTGGTGTAGATCCTAAGAATGAAGGGTTGGTGTTAGTCGGTAATCTTAATTAGGGTAATAAACTAAATATACATATAATATATATATACATAATCCAATTTAATCCTATAAGAAGCGTAGAAGAAGGGTTGGTGGTCATCTTGGCCATTCAGGAAGCTTACCGTATCTATTATGGTGGACTCTTCGGCCCAAAAAAAAAGGCAAGCGGACTGCGGACCACAGGGATGCGACGTCGAGTTCACAAGTACTGACTCCGTCAGTGTCCCTGGAAAATCACGGTTCCCCGTTGAGTGGGGCAAACCCCTCCCCAAAAAATGGTTAAAGGTGATCCTGCGCCTGTATACAAGCAAAAGCGAGCCGCCATTGAAAGACCTCTTGGACCCGACCTCCCTTCAGTCCGCCCCTCTCCCCACCCCCTCCACCCCGTCTCCGACCGGACCGTGGCACTGCGACCGGCCAGCTGGCCTCGGCAAAGGGCGACGTTCTGCGCCAAGGCCTCCCGCTGCGAGGAGGTCAAGTGCTCCGAACTGAAAGGATCGATGGCCACCTGCTGGAAGCCGCTGACGGAGTGCCAAACGGGTGTGTCTTGTCGTCGTTGGGGTGAATGTTTGGTGAAAAGATGTGGAGAGTGGATAAAACATGATTAAACCAAGAAGCGGCTTGGTCGTTCAAGAGATAATAGTCTATCACATGATCCATTTCCAGTACTGATGATGACTGGTGGTGGTAACTGATATGATATATAATATATATAGTATATATATATATATATGTATAATTGTTCGTGACTTCTATGACTGTTCCCTTAGGCTGTTGATGGCTGTTTAGGTGGACAACACCCCCTAGGCCCACCGCACTTCCACTGTAGACTACGCTGTTAGACGCGGTAATTCAACAGCGGCACCGGCACCTCTCTCAATCGCCCTCTCCCAGAGTTTAGCCATGTGGTTAAGTCGAGCCTAAGACTCCCAAGACCCATTACCATTTCCAGCAGGGCTTGACACACGTGATATAAATATTGTAATACCTAGCACATCCAACGGGTGCCTATTGGAGACCTATAAGTAGGGTAGGTTAGTCTATTGGACACGGATGATCCTGGTGACTTAACTATCATGATCCATGTCCATTTCCAGCTTCAAGTCTTTTAAGGAGTGCCACACAGCGTCCCTTCACCGGTCTCACCGTGGCCACCCGGTTGAGTCACGCCCAGTGGCTTCGAAGCTCGGAACCCTGGGCGCCTTGTGGTACTGAGAGAGATCCACCGGGAAGGTCGCCTCTCCCTGCCACGGCCTCCTCGGTCCCGCGCGCGGCCCGACCGTCCGTCCGGTGCGCCTCCGCGGAAGACGGAAGGCTTCGGGAAGGCTTCGGAAAGAATGGGAAGTGGACGGAAGTGGATGGCATGATCTGGATGATCATTGAACTCCTCCATGCCAAACAGGTGAACTCCTCCATGAAGCCACGACGTGGTGTTCGGAGCGCAATGTGAAACAGAAAGCAGTTTAGTTATGGTATGTTACTGCTCAATGGGGTTCACATGTCCTTTGGCAAAAAAGATTGGCTAAATAGCTACGGTGTATCTTGCAGTTCAGCCTTGGCGTCTCATTGGACTACGAAAAACCGTTGGGTCTTGTTGTGTGACTGCTCAATGATGTTTTGCTTGTCATTTGGCTCAAGCTCATGCGAGAGCAAAGGCATGCAAAAGCAAACACACTGCTTCAACATGTCTACGCCACCTGTATTGATTGGTTGTCTCCGGAGATGTTGTATGCATCAACTTCTTCTGATGTATCTATTATGCCTCGGGATCTCTTGGAAGTGTTTCGCTCATGAGTTCGATAAGACACGTGGGCGTTGCTTGACATCCACAGGTTCCGGTTTAGGAAGCTAACGCACCAACTTCTGTCGACTTGGCGGTCTTGAGAGATGCTTGTTTTCTAGCTCCAAGCTTCTCAGCAATCTTCTCTGGTCTGGTCATTGGTGCGGCCTTGGCGTCCAATTCCATGGACACAGCTGCCATGCAGTCACAGTTGGAGTCGCTAAGAGCTTCGTCCAGAGCTTCGGCCCAAAAGCCCTAAAGCTGCGGCGCGGTCTCTCGTTGAACCTCGGAATGAACCATTTTTGGGAGGACATTCAATATAATAATGCAAAGGACCCTACTAGTAGCTCCTGGCATCGCCACTAGTAACAAAGGGCATCGCTACTATATATAGGAGAATGGTGCTCTCGGACTCCAAGGCTCCAAGTACCTTCTCGGAAGGTGTTCGGGGGTTCAGAGGGTCCAGATACCTTCTGAGGAGGTGCGACTGGAGCCCTAGGGTCTAAGATCTGATAAGTACAGTGGTTTCAGAGGGCGCAATCCCCAATGTCGGTGGTATTATTTGGACCCCCATATACACAAATCTTTGGGTGTGTGCTGTCTATTCTGAAACCGAGGGGCTATAAATAGACACCCCTTGGAGGATCCTGGTATATAAGTATAACTTATAAGGGCTGGCAGGACAACTCATGGCATCTCCAAAAGAAACAGGTCGTGGCACCCTTCGAGACAAAGCTGATGCAGCCTACCTTCCAATTCCTGTCCATCACCTAGAACATCAACTCAAACACACGAAACAAATGCGACGCCGGCTTCGACATCGGGACACCTAGCACTGCCACAGCACTTGCGTTTTCTCTTTGCCTTTGAAACTGGGCATGGTCAGGAGTTACCGGGCGCCGGGCGCGACATGAACGGCTGATGAGCGGTGTTTTCCGAGCGGTGCGATGGGTGGCCCTAGGGAACCCACGCCCCACATAGAGTGACTTAGACACCGAACATTGGAACTCCGAATTGGATGAGATGATGGGACTGGAGATGATGAGATGAGGGGTTTTCAAGGATGGTCGAACGCAGTATCAATCCACCTTCCTGCAACAAGCCGGCCCTCGGACTGAAAAAATGGTCCTGCAAAGCAGGGCCTGTCTTTCTACCATTTTGCAAAAGCAACTGCAGGGAACTTTGCTGGTTTGTGCTGCTTTTCCTGGATACCTAGGGTCAAACCAATACCCCACAGCGAACCATATAACGAATATGATTGTGACAACTGACAACTGACTAGTCCTCCCACCTTTCTTTGGGACATTCACAATCTTCACCTTACAACATACCACTTGGAATGCCAAACAGCCTCCACCTTCAGTGTAAAACACAGTAAAGCAAAACGCTGCGTAGCTCTCCGCTCACCGTCCAGCACGTGCCCGAATTCAAGCGCACTGACCGTGCAGATTAACGCGACGTCTTTGGGTTGAAAATGACCATCGGATATCGTCGGAGCCACCGCAGCCTACACCGATCGGGATGAGTTGGTCTCTGCTCATGGGTTAGGGTTAGGAAAACTAAGGCACATCATCAACTAGGGAAGGACAATGCACGCTGTAAAGGGCATATATTAATAAATATATGCATACAGTATATATGGCATGTTATGTGTTATGTCATGTCACAATTACTACTGTATGACAATCATTGGCGCTATCTACACTCTCCAGATTCTTATAGCATCCTTGCGAAGGACTATCCTGACATACAAAAACCATCAGCTTGTGTGAAAGAAAATGCATGGCCAAGTTCCTCGTTTCTTTTCCGAAATTGTCATCTTTCTCGTGCTTATCTCGCAAGATTAGCAAGGAAACATAAGGAAACTGCTCGTTGACAAGCTCGTTGCGCTTCTTGAGCTAAATGCTTCTTGGGCCCAATCTATTCTGCCTGTATCTTCCTTGGTGTCTTCTGAACATTCGGCAGTGATGCAAATCACTGGGCTGATAAGCTCTTGCAAGCATTTATCCTCTCCATTTCAAGCCAGCAAACAGCAAAGACAGGCCATATGAACATAGAGCTGAGCACGTCACTTTCGTTCTGAATCGGCCCAGCATATCCCAGCATCCCCCCCAGCCGATGCCTCAGAATGCTCTTGTTTTGGAAGCCCCGAGAGGCGCCAAGCGCGGATAGGCTGCGACCGGACGGACCACAGACCCCGACGGCGCTATCGCCGGCAGCGAGCAGCAGCAAAGTCGCCTTGCCGCCTTGACAGACCCAAAGTCCGTTGACCTGGTGTTGCGACCTCATAGAAAACACTCCCTGGAACTGTAACTGGACCATGGGACCCTGCGGATGACGATTTTCCTCTACAAACGGGCTTGTCCACTTCCATGTACTGGTAGTAATGGCTGTTTGGGACTCAGCCCGTTCAAACAGCTCTACCAGTAATGGTTGTTTGGGACTCAGCCCGTTCAAACAGCTGTTGGAATCCCAGGGTCAAGCCGAGTCCAGTCCATTGAACAAGGGATGCACTTCTTGGACACAGGGTTGTTCTTCTTTCTTTTTTCCCGAATGCGTAGCGAAGGGTTCTCGTTTAACTCTTGGGGGTCTGGGGGTAGAGCCTTGTTCGCGACCCGTTGCTTCTATGTTCGCAACCGTTCGCAACCGTCCGCAACCGTTCGCAACCGTCCGCAGTAGGTCGCTAAGGCGCTGCCATTGGGGGAAGCTTGTGCAAGTGACTTTTCATGGATGTGTCACGTGTCAGTTTGCGCCGCTATTCCATTGTGATTTGCATGAAAATGAGATGTGGCGCAAGACACGTGATGCGTTTCGCTGCGCAGGCGCAGCGTTTTGTGAGATCTGCAGAGTGCTGCGTAGTTCCATTGGGATTAGCGTTTGGAGAATCGTGTTTTTGGGGTGTTGGATGTGGCCGTGCCATTGGGATTTGCGTTTCAGGGTGTGGCATCGAAGCTCTGTTTTCGTGACAAGTCTCAGCTGAAATGCCGATTTTGGTGGATGGGAGTGTGCTCAGAACGGGTCGAAATTATTCCAAACGTGTGGTGTGGTGCAAATTTTGTTGAAGCTGACATGAGATGATATTGTCACTATTCGTGGCAGGCGCAGTACTTTGTGTGGGTTTTGAGGCGTGGAAGTGCGATTCTCGTGGCAGGCGCAGGGAATGGTGAGGTTGCGAGGTGTGACGGAGGTGACATTTCGTGGCAGGCGCAGTACTTTGTGCGCGTTAGACATGTGGATGCGGAAAGATTTGAGCGGTGTCAAAAAACCATCCGGAACTTTTATTAAGATTATAAAAACCTTTCGCCAATCCCTTCGCAACCCTTTCGCGGCTGCATGTTTTGCTTTCGCCGACCTACTTCACCCAAAAACCTCTTTCGCTAACCCTTTCGCCGAGTTTCTGCTACTTGCACCTAAGTTGATTAAGTAGACAGAGAGATGGCAGATGATTGGTTTTCCTTTAGAAGCAGATGAACAGATAGTTTGCCACTGATGAGCCTGGTACAACAAGCAGAGGCGATAAATCTTTTTTACTCGCTGTCAGAGGCTGCAGAATCATCGTCGGAGGAACTGCTGGAGCTCGATGAGGATTCAGTGGGTGAAGTATCTGCAGCAGTTCGCATCTGTCTGAGCTGGCGCCGCTTTTTTGCAGCAGCTTTCTGCAGGGACAGGGCTTTGGCAGAACATGCTTCCAAAAAGGAAGGCTTTGGCTTTGGCATCCGTGCAGCTGGAAATTGTTTCTGATCTGCGAACCGCCGGGTAATAGAATTCTGATCTCCAGGGTCTGGGCCTGTGTCTTCCCAGGAGCGAGGCTGATCATAATATCCAACTCGCCACATTTGAGGCTCATCAGAGATGACTTCGCGAACCTCCCAGGAAAAATCTTGCCCGCGAGAAAGGTCGGAAAAGACTTTATTTTTAATTTGCGCACCAGCAGCTGCATACTTCGACAAGTTTGCAACCAAGGAATAGGTGCGGGAGATCTTGAAGGAAGGGAAGTGGAGCACCAGGCGCTTCGAAGGTCGAGTAGATCCAGGAGACCATTTGACTACCAAAAATTGAGCTCCTTGCTGGTCGTCTTTCATCATCTTCCCCGCTCCCATGCGGAAGCACTGAAGCAAGTGCTCCAGGGAGTGAATTGGATTTCGGAGGATGTAGTTTGAGATCCAGGAATTGCACCAGCCGAAGCATCTGTCCACTCCTGACTTTCCATGTTGCTCCCCCAACCAACACACTTCCACGGATATATTCAGCACCTTGGGAAGCGTCACGCAGAAATGGGCGGCATTTTCTTTGCTACGAAAATGAGGCCCGCAGTCAGTGACAATGACCAGGTGGGTCACAGCCTTCCAGTCGACCTGCTTGTGTTTCCGGAGCTCCGCAAGGACAGTGTTGGTGCTCATGTTGGCTGCTTGAGCATCATGGTCTAAAATGTCTGAAACGAGCAGAACAAAGAATTCCAGTTGTCCACCACCAACTTTTGGCACAAGGGCATTTGCACCGAAGACGGTCAAGGAGAGTTTGTTCTGTGCGTGCCATTCTTCAGAAGTCTCCGAGGGACTGAGGGGATATTTAACATTCTCCTTGAAATCCATCTGCAGCAAGGCGAAGCCCTTGGGCAATTCTTCCCTCAGTTTGTGTGCAAATTGGCTTTGGCGTCGTGCGGAAGTCTGGTGCCAGGAATATGCATCCAGGAGTTCCACATGCCCTTTGAGCGAATGAGCGGCCTGGGCCTCAGATGAATGCAGCGAAATACGATCCGTCAGAGAGAGCGACAAACGATCTCCAGCAGGTGGTTGGGAGCTGAGCTGCTCTATGTAGCGCCACATGCGGTCTACCAGCGCAGCATCATCATTCTGCTGCTTCAACGCTTGGACTTGAGGCGCGGCGTCGAATGCGTGGAAGTAGGTAGGGAGGATTGTCTGGAGATCTTTCCGACTTTGGACGCATTGCCTCTTTGCTGCTGGTACCAAGTATTTCTCAAAATTCTTGCAATGTTTGCAAATGTCTGTACTTCTGCGGGCATTGCGGACATGAGGGAAATGGAGCTTGAGAATCTGCTTCAAAGTGTTGTACCCCATCTGCTGGTGCAAGTTCGGTGCTTCTCGCCAAAGCCTGTGTCGAGACTTCTCCAAATGTTTGGCAACAACCATTCGTTTGCTGGCACCCCTCCCCACCACAACCACGCGTTCAGACTCTTTGATGTGCTTGTTGAGCTCTGCGCGGACCAGCTCGACTACTTGTTTGTTCTGAACCTTGGATGGTC